ACCCCACCCCGCCCCAAGCACTCATGTCATTCATGCTTCGGCCCGAGGCGCCCGCTGCCCTCGTCGTTTACGCTTCCCCAAGATAATGACAGGTTTTTCCTCGATCACTGCGCTGCCGCTCCACTCCACGCTCTGCTCTCCTCCGCTGCTCTTGCTCTCCTCCATGAATGGGTGGACCAGGCCGGGGGCCGGCCGGGGAGAGCTAAGAAGGTCCTCCTCCTCATCTCTCCATGGTGCGCGGATGCTGCGCGAGCTGGACCACGGTGGCTGGACGCAGCCCGGACGGCGCGGGCACCGCACCGCCACCGGTGGCTGCTGCGGACAGCATACCGGCCTCAGACGCGTCAGCACGCAAAAATTTACATCTCCCATACAAAAATAATAAAAACACAACAACATATTCAATGAGCCCCTCTGCGCCCCTTCCCTTCACCCACCCCCGCGGTGATGGACGCGTTTAAGCAGGCGGTCCACCTCAACAGGCTGGCCGTGCGGCGAGCCGTGCAGCACCGCCGCCAGCCGCCCCTTCCAGCCAGATGAATGGAAACAACGAGTTATGCCCCTCCGGACCTCTCGTTACGTCGCGCATTTTTCGCGCCGCGGGGGTCCTGCCTGCCTGGCCGGCGCGCCCGGGGCAACGCCGCCGCCGCCGGGGCCCTCCTGGAGCATGAGCCGCCTGGAGCAGCCGCCTGCCTCCTCCTGGAGCCTGCTGGACCTGGACCTGGAGGAAGAATGAGGGCCACCCTCTTCTCCTCTGGAGTCGTTTTGCGCCGCGATTGCCGCACACTCCTTGCGCTGCCGTGTTGCAAGTCTCCACACTCAAAAAAATAATAAAAAGAACAAAAATGTCCCAGTGAAAAAAGTTATTGCCGAAAAAGTGGCTTTTAACAAAACCGTGCCGACGACGACGGCGTGTGTGGAGCAAGGAGTCTGCACGGCAGCAGCCGCCGACGACGACCTGCAAGGCTGCAGGAATGCTGACGAGACGAAGAAGCCGAAGGTGGGGCACGGGTGGTCATCACCAGAAACTGCAAGGTGCTGTATGGTGTGTAACGGTGGCGTGGTGTGTTTCTGCCCTGTAACAGAGTCCAACCAGAAAGTATTGCTCAACAAACACAAATATGTCATTCAATCGTTTCTTTTATTCTCCTGTTTTCTGTACGAATGTTTGTCAGGGAAAGTACATACTTACAGTAGTACTTGTTGGTTACCTTTCGTCAAAGGCATTGACTCAAAATGATCCTGTACAATGTTATTTTCTTCTCAATGCGGCTCTTTGGTGTGGTGGGGGTCCATCCGGGGCCTTGCACCACGTCCCACTGTGTCGACTGCCCGACTCGTCATCACTCCACTTGCTCATCATCCCTCCCTAACTCGTAAAGACGGGCCGTGGTAAATGATGATCTGATGTTATCACCCGCTGAGCCGGGCTCGCTGTGCTCGCTGTGCGCGCCGCCCGGGTCGTGGCGTGGCGCGGCGCGCACTGAGGGCAGCGAGAGCCACAGTGTAGGGGCGGAGCTCATGCACCGTACTGTACACGAGTGACGTTCGTGGAGGAGGCCACCGCCCTTCACTAGCACTGCACATATTTTCTGCGGTGAAAACGTCAAAATCCTGTGGCTTATTATCCTTTCTAAAAAGAAATAAGTAAATATCGATAAAAATGCTACTTTATTGTTGTGTCAGCGACTGTGACCATGATCAAGACATTATTTTCCAGAGCGTATGAAATCAAATGCAGTATTTTTACGACACGTCTTCTGCTTGAAAATACACGCTTTCGCCGACCGCGACCCACGGCCGCACCCGTCAGCCAATCAGCGCTCGCGATGTTGGTATTCCCCGTTCAGGCCGTTCACTCGTTTGTTTAGGAAGTAACCATTGTGTAGTGGGGCTGCAACAAGATGCTGCTGCTGCTGCTGCAAGTTAATAATTATAGTCAGGCGCACAACGAGCGGCGGCAGCAGCCATATTGCCCCTCGTGTGCCCTACCTGCCCGGCCGGGTACCAGAGGGAGAGGCACCACAGAGGTACCCATCCTCACAAACTGGTTTCGTCCGTTTGCGGGCTTCTCTTCCTCTCTCTCTCCCTTATTTTCCAATTTCCTCTTCAGTTTAATTGGTAATCACGCCACGGTCGACCGGGTCGCTGCGAGGGGGCCACTAACGGTCCCCCGGGGGCCACTACCCCGCACTACTAGGTGCACTCGGGCTTTACTACCACCGCGAAGGGGGACCCGCGGGGACCCCGCAAGCGAGCAACAGTTTCGCTCGGCATTCGATAGTTTTCTTTGCTATGCACTCCAGTTCCCTTTTTCCTACCAGCCTCCCGCACTTTTGCTCGTGAACCCTCTCTGGTACACTACCCCCCCCCCTTCCCCC